AGACCATACTCACAAGTGAAATAAATCAGTCTCATGTGTGTAAATATCATATTGTCCCTGTAGTGTAAGAAACTGAAACAGTAAATAAGATCCAAAAGATAAAACAGACATTGTGAAAGGGAAAGTAACTGCTGAAAAAGGAAAGAATAATTAGGATAGGGGAAAGGAGAAAAGAAGGAAGGAATATATATACAAGATAAGATAGTAGTACTAATTTCTATTAGTTCATTGAACGGAATAGTTAGTGTTTATATTGTTTGACCAATCTTACATGACTATATCTGATACTCTGAGCAACTACTTTGAAGATAATATGCAATATAATAACCATTGTTAATTCCTGTCATCTTATTTTGAAATTCTGTATTGTTTTTATTGTTTTTTAATCATTGTCTTTAAAATGAATTTTTAAAAGGAGGATGAATACACACTGTAATGTTTCTATTTGACAGAAATTACCATAAACATTTGATCAACAAGGGGTGATCAAGAAGTAGGAGAATGCTCAAATTTTTAAAATGTATTACATTAAAACATGATGCCATAAATCCTCTAGGGATTCAAAACTATCCCCTTAGTTTCAAATACCCTCCTCTCATAATTCTTGCCAGTATGTCTTTTGTGTAAATTTTAAAATTTGAATACTCACCATATTTGATGATCAATCCCTTGTATATTTTGTGTACTAGCGTGGCTTATGCTTGGTCTTGGTTCCAATAGCTTAAAGATTTCTTTATTCTGTAACTTAGAAGAGCCAACTGAAACTTGTGACAGGGCAGTTCCTCAAAATGTTAACCATAGAATTTGCATATAACATAGAAGGGTCTAGCCATACATGGACTATTGTATAGCCACACAGATAAATGCCACAGCATTGATGAACCCTGGAAACATTAAATGAAAGGCGCTAGCTACAAAACATCCTATATTATATGACTCCATTTATGTGAAATGCTCAAAGAAAACCTATAGAGTCAGCAAAGTGATTAAAGGTTTCCAGGGCTGGAGGAGATGCCTGCTAATATGTAGGAGGTTCTTTTTGGGGTGATGAAAGTCTCCTAAAATTAGATAGTAGTGACGGCTAGCACAGCTCTGAACACGGTATATCTACTGCCTTTTATACTATTAAGTACTGAATGCTATGGTATACTAAATACATCTCAATAGATTTATTTTAAAATGACTGATTATATTACACTGAATAAACAAAACAATCCATAAATCCATAATGGTGCTCAAAGTAAAAAGAAGGAATGAATTCATTAAGCTCTTGTGAGAGTGAATCCTACATCAATTCCTTACTTGAAAAATGGCAATTAGAGAAAAAGAATGGGAGAATTATAAGAGAAATCAGTCATCTGGCTGGTCGCAGAAGTGCCCAGAAGTGGCAGCCCATGTAGCAGAACTATTTCTTACCCATCGGCCCCTCACTCCCTGGCAACATCATGTCTTCCAGCCTGACCCAAATGACTTTTACAGCTGAAAAAATACTTCCATGTAAGCATTTGGAAACAAGGGCAGTCAATTAGTAAGCAACATTTTGAAGGAACGGAATGAAGTTTTATGTACAAATGTAATTAAAAGAAGGTTTGGTTCACTTTGTACAGGAGCAGGCGGGGACTGGACAGGAACATGGACAGAGGGAACATGAGGGAGTCCTTTGAAAGGGAGCATTCTTGTGTTATTTACTCACTGATCTTTCAAACTTTGGGGTCTTATTGTTATTTTGCACTCAAATATGACTTTGAAATTAACTTAGATTGCAGAAAATCACCTGTGATGGTTAAGTTCAATTATTAACTTTACTGGACTAGGAGCCCGCTGGGCAGGTGACCGGATCATGAGGCATTGTGCTCCTTGGTGGATAAATCCATGAAGAGCTGGGGCTTAGGTCACGGTGGGTTGGTGCAATATTCCTGGCCTTTGCAGGGTATATGTCTTGCTGGGCTCTTCCCTTTTCCTCTACTTCCTGGTTGCCCTGAGGTAGGCAGCTTTGCCCCACCAGGCCCTTCTACCACGGTCTCAAACCATGACTCAAATTAACTCTCTTCCTAAATTGTGGGTGCTGGGTGTTGTGTTTCAGCAAGGAGAAAGCTGACCAATAGATCACTGTTAGGGCAAAATAAAGGCCACAAAAAGAAGGTGTGAGACTGGTATTGTACACCTGGGCCAAGATAGGGCCAGCCGAGGGGCTCTGCCTTGCAGAGAGGGCCAGGTTAGTGATGTTGGCACTCACATTCCCTGGGCAGGGCCTGATGCTCGGCAGTGCTTGATTCAGACCAAAATCTTTTGTAAAAATGCCTTAGGGAATTGGAGTCAAACCCAGGATTTGCTTTCAGGTGTTCTTAAGAGGAGACAAGCAGGAGCACGTCTGCCTGGTAATGGCCATGTTCCCACAGAAAAAGCAAAGGTCCCCGATGCAGAAAAGCTAGTGGGAGAGAGCAATGGAGTGGCCCTGGGAAGGCAGGAGGGTGGAAACCAGGGTGATTTGGAGCTTGAGGCATGCAGAGACTTTCCTCCCACCATGTTGGGGGGAAGTAGGGAAGCCTGGGTGAACTGTGGGCGGCCCTCCTTAAGGGCTTAGGACTGGAAAAGGAATTCTTGCCTCTCAACCACTACCACTCGTCCTGCAGTACAGCGCGCAGCAGCATTGAGCTCGCAGCGATCAGACTGAGGTATCTTCTCCCTGGCTGGACAGTTTCCAAGGTGCCTTCAGATCACCTCGTGGTGTCTCCAGATCACCTCCTGGCTCCCGAATCCTCCTGCCAGGCCACCGGATTTGAATTTTCGTTCTGTCTAAAATCTCTAAACTCACCACTGAGTTTGCCCAGCGTTTGGGAAGCACAAACAAGTGTACAAAGTAGCTGCTGGGACAGGAGGTGGGGCTTGGGGATGTCTAGTTCCATCCCCAGCACAGAAAAACAAAAACAGCCGCTAGAAGTGTTTTTCTTTGTGCACAATAAACCCAACAAGCGAAGAAGCAGGGGCAAGCCGTGCTCCTCTCTGATCCTGTAACTTTGCCCCCACCAGAGTTCTCAAGTGTACACCTGCTGCTGCTTGGGGTCCCTGTGCTCTGGAGTCACGGGCAGGGGACCTCCCAGAGTCCCCAGCCTGCTCTGGCTTCCGCCCGCTGACCGCCCAGCTGGCGCCAATGGCCAGGCAGCCAGTGCCGGTATCCCCGCGCAGCACCGCAGCGAAGGAGCGCGCTGCGCCTCTCGGCTTCGAACCTCCTGCCGCGGACCTAGTTTTTTCCCGGTGAGCATAGACTGCCCCAGAGAGGGTGAGCTTCCCGCTGCAGAGTCTTAGGTCGCCCTATTTTGTTGTGTCCGCGCGGTCTGGAGGGGAAGCCCAGGGCAACCAAGCGGAAGGACCCCGCAGGATTGCGGAGTACCCGCAGCTGCGGTGACGCAGCGGAAGTCGGGCTCCGGGAGGACCCAGCGGCTTTGGTGGATCGGTTCGTGGCACTGATAGTGTCACCATCGCACTCCCTCTGCCTCAAACGCTCCGATGAAATACTAAGCAACAGGAGAGGCGCGGGAGGGTTTTTAAGTCCTGGCACTGATGTGAACACCGACTGATCTCTAGAGTGAAGGCGTGGAGTCATTCATGAACTCTGAAGGGAGGGAGAACCTGGGAGAAGCATCCCCCCGGAAGCAAATTACTTCCTTTCTGTTCTAAACCAATACTCTGCACCTTCATAGAAATTGAGCCCAACCCATTTCTGTGCCAAGGTGCAGGTGAAATGTGGGCTGGCTGACCAGGGAGGGAGCGAACGTCTCCTCTGGTACAGTCCCCCTCCCCCCTCAACCTTGCTCACCTATGGAAACAAGCCCTGGGCCGCCCACGTGGTTGATGTGGTGGTGGGGAGCCCTGGGTTTTGAACCCAGCCCCTTCACGCTGAGTTGCATCCCCAGCCCTTGTTATTATCATTTACTTTGAGACAGGGGCTCACTAATTCGCACAGGCTGGACTTGAACTTGCTATCCTTCTGATCCTTCTGCCTCAGCCTGAAGGCCGGAGGCACAGGGCGGGGCCTTCCGCCAACACTCAGATGCACCTATGCACGTGGGCGTCTCCACGCCAGCTTTAGGACCCGGCTGCCCGCCTGTCCCTCTGGGCACTGGAGAGAGAGAAACCCAGGAAACAAACGCACACACTCCTGACCTGAGAGTCACAGAGCAGGCTGGGAGCCTGATCGACTCCAGAATGCTCCCATTTGACGTACCTGACCGGCATCGTGGACACACACGAGCACAAACACGCAAACATGCACACGCAGAAACACCCCAGAACAGCTGGATCCCTTCCCACAGCTGGCCAGGGGAGGTGTGCTGCGGCCTACTCCAGACCCTTGGAAGGGAGCGCTTTTCTCAGCGTTATCTCCAAGAGCAATCAGTCAGGTTCTTACCACACTCGGTTCTTTCTAGCTGGCAAAATTTCAATAGAATCACACTTTCCAAAGTTCGGGAGGTTTGTATTTTTTCCTTGCGCTCCCATGGGCTGCCCTGAGATCGAAGCATACTCTGTGTGTTCAGATATGGGTGCTTAAGTTCCTTCAGGCTGTGCTCACCAATCTTGGGCAAATTATTTAACCTTGCCTCCTGGATTTCTATCCCCCGGGAAATAAATATAAACAATAATACACCAACTAGATAATTTAGTGACTGACTCTGACGCAAGCTACACTCCCAGTACAGTTGGAAGGGCTCTGCACCACAAGGTCTTCACATCTTCACAGGACATGAACAAGATCAAGATCAGTTACTTTCTGCTCCACGGGTTTTGGAAAGGAATTAAAGAGGCTGAATATTTCCCTCCAATTTTTATAGTTTTGATGGTTTTCAAGGCACAGAAAATGTCACACCTTAAAAAGTAAAGCACCCTGTGCTTCCAGAGGCAGTTCAAAGCCTCTGGAAGGGTTCCTGCGGTGAAGGGGAGGAGGGGGATCCTGCGGTGAAGCTGCGGAGACGCAGAGAATGTTTACGGTTGCCATGGTGATCACTTGGACTCAGCCGCGCACAGAGGCGGATCTGCCATGGCTAAGGACGTAGAGCCAGAATGTAAGCGGACTATGAGCGTCTGTTTGACTTTCGGTGTTTGGTGCCTGGGAACAGGGCGTGTCGGCACCGGTTATGAGAAATGGAACTTTTCTGGGGGCTGCAGATTGCTGGATTTAAGATTGGATCTGGGTGTGTGGCTCCTCAGACCTAAAGATACCGGCGGAGCACCCCGGGAGGTCTAGTACGGCGAGGCTGGGTAAGGGGTGCAGACTGTGCATAGCATGTGGGAGTGTGGGCGGTGTAGTGGGGGTGTGCACTGTGTTGTGTATCTGATTTTACGTCGTTGAACTGCACTTGGCACTCTGCACGGCCCCAGTCAGTGACAATCTGGGAGCCAGGCAGTGACCCTCTGGAGGCCCCCTGTGCATGTCTGCTGCCACTTACCATGGGCTGCACACTTGCCTCGGGATGCTGGGAGGACACAGTCACTGGGACTTTGCAGGCATCTCCAAGCTTCTGAGGTATCTTTCTCTTTAAGGAACTGGTGAAGAGCTCAAGCCTGCATCCTGACTGAGGCCTCTGGTAGCAGCGGGAAGTGGTGACTTACCCCGGTGGCCTCCATGGACACATGAGCCCTCTGGTTCCCAATGCCAAGCGGCTGCTTCCCTTTCCCTTTCCCCTCATGGGCCACCAGACCTACCCTGGGCAGCCTGTTAGATCCTGCTTCCTTTCTTCTGTTGTAGTAATGCATTCCCCAAAATGCGAGACTGAAAATAGCACCCAACATAAGTTCATTTCCATGGGTCACAGGGATCCTGTGAGGGTTTCTCTGAGGCCCCGGGGATCTGTTCAGGGTTTCTCTGCCTGTCCAGAGGTGTTGGTAGGAATGTGTGCCTTGCTAGAGCCCTGTGGAAGAATCCGTCCCACGCCCTCTTGTTTTGTTGGCATCTCCAGTTCCTCCTGGCAGGGGACCACAGGTGTCCTCTTGTATCTTTTGACCAAAGCCTTTCCTCAAGTCCTTGCTCTGGGTCCTCTGCCTGAGAGCCAGTCTGGCAATAGGATCCTGTGCTCTTATTGGAATCTCAGAGGCCCCTTCCAGTCCTCCTGTCCTTTGAGACTCTAGCCAGAGAAGCCTTTGCTTTTAGGAGTTTTTACAATTAGATTGGGTCCATCCAGGTGATGGATGAGACTATTTTTTTAAAGTCCATTCCCTGAAATAAACCAGCAAAGTCCCCTTAAAACACAACTGGAGGCAGGAGGTGGACACCTTCCTCCCATATCTGGCACCTGAGAAAGAACCTTAGGTAAGATTCCTGCAGCTCCCCTGCCCTCTGCAGTCACCGCTCTCTTGTGGCATATAGTGTCCCCCTACTGAGGCACTTATGTCTCAAATATGTTGCAGAATTTAAGATTCCTGGAGGTAGGACTTTTATTTCATCCCCCAAGATACACAGGTCAGCATGTGGCATATGGATATAATATTATTCCTTAGAATTCTGGAAATGCAGTTATTTTCCACATTTATTCATTAAACAGAATAGTGATTGTGAACCTTTTATGAAGGTTCTAATACCAGTAACACACAGTTCATTCTCTTGAGAATTTGTAAAAAAGGTTGCAGATGAGTATGTAAAAGGCAGAGTGTGTCCAGACACAGGTCCAGTGCTGTCAGTGGGGTCCTGGAAGAGCCAAGCAGCCCTGCAAAGTTATACAAGAGTTTCGGGGGCACAGAGGACAGGGGAGCAGTCTTCTGGGGTCCCTGGGTCTCCTCTGGCTGGCCTGCCTCACTGGAGATCTCCCGGCTCTGCTCTGAATTCTTTCCACTGACACTTCCTGGGGTACTTGCTGGCTTTAGGGAGGGAGGATAAGGATGTCCCTGAGAGAGACCAATGTGATCCCTGTGGACTTCAGAGCTCTAAGGGACGAGACAGCCTGGCAGAGTTGTAATAGTGTTGACACTGAAAACCCGATCTTTCTTTTATTAAAAAATTACTTATAGATTTTATTAGCACATGTTTGCAGTACAGAATATTTACATTCCTTGTCACAGGTACTCATGCAAAAATTGATTACTATGTCTTTCTAATCAATACACATTTAAAACATTTGGCCTTTCTTAAATTTGTTTTCATATCATTTGTAAGCAAAACACGTTTTCTAAAGAATAGTTTAAATTTTTGTTTCTTATGTGCACTAAAGATGGCAGGATATTCAAAACCAATGTTTTCGATAATTGTAATGTTCACTGTACGGCATGAGGTAATGCATAGTAAACATTACAGGACTCGGCAAACAACTGGAACCTGGGTTTTTTAAGTCTAGAAAAGTAAGCCTCTCTCTAATCAAACTCAAGAAAGTACTAACTATAGGGGGCTATGGTGGTTAATCCCAAAGGCTGCCAGTCTCCTTGGAAATAACCAAAATGAAGAATGACATGGCAACACCTGTCTTCCATAGTTAGTGTGATCTGCTTCTCCTGCTTTCTGAGTTAGTGCCTTTGATGAATAACAGTGATTATCTTGGAAATGATTCTATTAATTTGTCTGTTCTTAAGTGGTTTCTACTCCAGAAGCCCCTGGCTGGGAACATTTGCTTCCACGTGGAGCCCTGGTGGCCAGAGCCAACGGTGGCCCTTGTGCACACTAGACAGTGCTGTGAGGTGTGGGCTTGGCCGCGTTGGCGAGGTGTGCACAGTTCTGATGGAGCCAGAACTTCTGGGCTGGTGCACACACCTGGCATCACCCCAGGTCAGAAGAAAGGAGAGACAGAGCCTTTGTGTTTGCTTTGTGTGTGTTTTAGGGTATAGCTGGTCTGAAGACAGAGCAGCATCTTGTGGGTCATGGAGAGAAAGGGTTGTTCTAAAGAAGGAGAGGTGCTGGACGGAAGAGTTTCCTGACTGGGAGATGAAGATGGAGATGGGATGTGATGCAGATGCAGATGCAGATGGAGGGGTGTGAGTCAGGCATATGGACAGGCCCCAGGGACAGCGAGCAACCCCACTAATGGCTATCTACAGGGACCTCACTCCTACAACTAGATGGAGGTGGATTCTGATGATAACAAGAATGAGTCTGGAACTGATTTGATGTCCGATCTCTTGAGAACTCAGCCATCACCTCAATTTCAACTCTATGAGGTCCCAAGCAGAGAACCCAGCATGCAGAACTGACACTTCGTGCTGATGCTGCTGAAGCTGCCATCTGTGGTCATTTGTCTCACAGCAGGGAACTCACTGGTGCTCCTCACTTTCTCTGGGCTTTATTTCTTCTCTCAGGTAGGAAGAGAGACCATGATGCATCCCGTGAGGCAAGGCTTCCCACACAGATTTGGCACAGAAATGGGTTTTTATGTGGCTTGGTTCCTGAAGGTCTTCTGCTGCCCTTTCCTCAGGTGGTCAGGAATAAGGGGATGAGTCCAGCAGATAGGGGAAGGCTCTGTTCAGAGCTGGCTGTCTGGAAAACACTTGATCTCATAATGCCTTTCAGTGTCTCTTTTCACTCTGGGGAAGAGACTGATCACCAAGGTGCTTGTCACTGGGGACTTGAAGCTGGGTATAGGTTATATCCTGGGCCTGTGCAGGGTCTGCCGTTCCCCTGGGGGCTTGCTGGGCTTGGATTACCACCTGGCAGAGAAAGTCATCTGGTCTTTGGGAACACAGGAGATCTCAGCCTCCCTGAAGAGCTGAATTCCCTCTTATTTAGACCCCTCAGGCTCTCTAGAAGCCCATGCCACTGGCTCTGGGGACAGACATCATGCCACACAGTAGCCAGGAGGAAGCCCTCTCCCCTTGTGTTGGATGACAGCTTATTACAAGGACAAATTCAGGCTGACTCAGAATCTTTCAGAAGTGTTTAGTGCTGCAGTGCTTTAATAAGAATGGGTGTGAGTGATGAACTGTCCACGCCGTGCCAAGGGTTTCCTTACCCGAAGTGATTCCATGGGTGTCAAAGAACCGTTTTGTACCAGTGATTATCCTGATGCTGCAGAAGAAAATCTAAGGCTCACAGGGATATTGTAACAAGGCTGCACTCACATAATTAGAAACAGGCAGAGAAACCAAGCTTTCCTACAATTTTATATCCTGGGTTTTTTGTCTGGTTTTTCTTTTTTTTTTGGTACTGGGAATCGAACTCATGTCCTTAGGCTTGTCAAGCAAGGGCCTATATCCTGGCCCTTTCTATGGAATAAAGCCCTGTCACTGGGGAATTCAAAGAACAGGGCCCTGTGTGGGAGGGGTCATTGTCCTTTCACTATACCCACAGGAGATTCCTTGTGAGGACAGGACAGGAAGCAATGAAAAGTACTTCAGTTGTAGGGATCCTGACACTTTTTAGTACAACGGGAGAAAAAATAACTCTCTTATTCTCTAGAATATCCTGTTTAGTACATTAAAAAGGCATCTTTATGTACTTTCTTTTTTTTTTTGGTTTTTCTCCAATACCAGGAATCGAACTCATGACCTTGTGCTTGCGAGGCAGGCGCTTTTGCCGCTGAGCTAAATCCCCAGCCCCAAAAGCATCTTTATGAATCATAAGAATTATAATTAATGTTTTAGACTTCTCTTCTAGAGTTTTGCTAACATTGTAATAAATACTCTGTGAAATTACAGTACTTCTTTTTTCCTTAATAGCCTGAGCAGCCACAGCCTTTACGGAGGCCCCACTTGTGTGTATGGGATATGCCAGCTTTGCAAATGGGCGTGGCTGGTTTAGGGTGGGACAAATACCGTATTTCATAGTTGTGTCGTTATTGCTTCCCAACAGTCTACCTCAGGCGGAAACACTGTGAGCTGCGCAGTGTCAAAACTCTGTGTAATCTAAGGGGGCTTCTGAACAGGCTCCAGAAGGACCACAGAGAGGATGTCTGCGCCTATATCTCAGGGCACCTGAACCCCAACAAGCTCTACAGGCCGCCGGAGATCATCCTGCGTCACTGGCGCAATGCCCACAGGCCGCGGTGGGAGACAGCTCCCCCAGCGAGAGCAGGCAAGACAGCTGGGGACAGGAAGACAGCTGAGATGAAGGATGCTTTGTCTTATTTCACCATCAACACAGCACTGGTTCCCAGTGATGCCCAGAACACGAAGCTCTTCAGGTATCTGAATCCACGAGCAGAAGTTTCACGAACTTTGCACATTTGTGAAGATTTCATTCCAAAGCAGATTCTGCAGGAAGAGAAAAAGGAAGGAGAGGTGCCTGAGCGCCCCTCAGAGCGACCCCGGAGAGAGGAACTCAGGGTGCCTGAGTTGAAGGTGCTGAGGTTCAAAGAAGCGGGATCCAGTCGCCAGTGCACCCTCTCTCCCCGAGGCCCAGATGAGTACCAGTATGTCAGCTCCTACCTGGCCAGTGTGACAAAAGCTGACAGGTACAAGAAGTTCTTAAGTTTCCAAAAGGAAGTTGTGGCAAAGCAGGATCTGAAGAGTGACTTCACTGGCAGCAAGGTGGTGGTCAGCCATGAGAAGAAGCTGGAGGAGGTAAGGAGCCGTTTTCACTTCTATCCACACAGGGCTCCAGTGCAAGGGCCTGGGTGGGCTGAGAAGTGTCCTCAGGTACTTTGTTTATACATGCAGGCGGAATGGAACAGAACTGCCAGGTGCTGAGATTACTTTGCGTAATCATTAGATCATAACAGGGTGCAACAGAAGGTGCCATTTGGACACTGGTAAGTTGGAGGCGAGTTCCCTTCAGAAGTGATAGATGCTCTGTGCAGCGGTGGTGTAGGCAGTGTTTGTGGGATCTGAGGAAAGGCCTGCCCACCTCACTGTGGAAGGACACTGTGAGGGAAGACAGTGAGCAGGTGAGAGGGTGCAGGCATCCCCACGGAGTATGTCAGCAGTGCCTGCCCGGAGCCGGCGTAGAACACTGGAGAAAGCACAGGCCTGGGGGAGAAGAAAGTGGCATCTATGAGGTGTAATTGACACATGCAGTAAAGCAGGGAGACAAGATGGAAAGGGAACCTGGGCTTAGGGGAGACAGGAGGGAAAAGGGAAGGGGAAGCAAACAGGTTCAAGATGTGGAATGAGTAGGTACCAGTTCCCCAGGATGAATACATTCATTGTGCATTAAAAACATGTATGAATAAAAATTCTAAAAATGATTACAGTAGGAGAGACACTGCCATCAATCCCCCTTGGAATCCTCCCCCTCACTTCAAACACTCTTGTCCCACCATTCTTGCCACTGTCTGAAGCAGTTCTGGAATCCTCTTCAGTGAGAGTCTTCAGTTGCCTTGTTGTGGCTGCTTGGATGTCTTGTGTCAGTTCAAAACATTTACCTTTCATAGTCTTACTGGCTTTGGGAAAGAGCTAGCAGTTGCACAGTTCCATATCTGGTGAATAAAGTGGATGAGGATGCACCATAATGTTTTAGCAAGCCTGCTTTTCTGTTGGGTGGCACTGGGGAGCAGGAATTAGCATATTTTTTAAAAATCACAATTCATAAAGATACAAGAGAGGACTTCCAGAACTGCTTCAGAAAGGTGCATGAACAATGGGACAAGCGTATTCAAAGCGAACAGGAATATTCTGAGGGGGATTAATGGCAATTTGTCTTTTATTGTGATACATCCTTAAAATTTAAACATTCATAGTATATTTTGATCACACCTTGTAACTATGAAATAACTAGGCCAGAGGGTTTTCGGATAGAAGGAGGAAGTGGCTATGCAGGGACTGTGGAGGCAGCACCTGGACTCATGGGTACAAAGATCAAAGGAAGGTCAGATAAAGATAAAAAGACAAAAAACAACCAAGCTCCCATGACTGGGCTCTCAGTGGCTGCTGGGAGATCCACAGGGCCACTATGGTTTGCCTCCTGCTCAGAGAAGACCAAACACATGGGTGATGGCAACTGTGCCCTTTGGTTCCTCAACCTGAGGAACTGTTCTGAGAGGAGAATGGAGACCACTGGAAATGGGCTCATTCTCTTTTCCCCAGGAACTCCAGAAAGCAGGCCCAGACAGCTTTCCACAGTTCAACAGGCTGCAGGTTTTTGGAGATGTCTTTGAAGACATTTGCAACAGCTCTCTGATATTTGGTGACCTCTTGAAAGAAATTAAGGTAGGCAAAACATACATGTTCTGCATAGCAGTGGAGAGCTATGTGCAGTTTTTCTTCTGCATACTTGGGAAATGACCTCATGCCTCACAGGCTCCATTGCATGGGGGAGGACATCAAAAGCCACGTGTGACCTGGGCCATAGCCACATATATCATTTAGGGCCTTGTCGAATAAGCACTCAGCTTACTGCCTAAGCCCGTGTTTGTTCACCAGACTTCCTAACTGTATACTTGGTACATATGCAACTTCTAAACTTTTATAGTTATAGATGTGAAAATTGTACACGAATCCTTATGGAATTATAGGTTTCTTGTGATTTCATGATGAAAACAACCCTCCTATAGCATCTGACTTGAAATAATGTTGCTTAACCAGGAGCTATTTTCTAATTTGTCTAGTAACAAGGGATGGTTACCAGTGGCAGGTGGTGGCCTGTTCTCCAGAGATACCCTTATCACTGGAAAGCTCCCCTTTGGCAGGCTGCAGGACCCACAACCATAGAACTTCTGGCTGGCAGGGGACCATTTGTTGTATGTGGGCAAGGTAGTTTATGACAGTATGTTGAAGTGATCAGTACTTAACATCTAAACACGCTTCAAAGTATGTTCAATTTATAAATGTTAGTGTGTGTGGCTTAATACACCATAGAAATATATGATATGACTTTAAAAATCAAGACTGACATCCTTAATGCCTTTATTATTGAAATAGACAGATAACTTTGCAAGGTAGCATTATCTTCTAACACATTTCCATGGATTCTTTGTATGTGTGTGTGTAGAACGAGTATGAACTCTACGTGGCAATACTTCTGGACTCCCAGCCCACAAAGCAGATTAAGGTAACAATCAACCCTGAAGTGTATACAGTCTGTTTGCTCATTCATTATTATTTCATGAGCAGTAGAAAAACGTTCTGAAGGACCTTCCTATAGACTGACACGGTATTGTTGAAGTCTTGACTCTCTCTCCCCCTCTCTCTCTCTCTCTCTCTCTCTCTCTCCCTCTCTCTCCCTCTCTCTGTCTCTCTCTCTCCCTCTCCCCCCAATATAATTTTGGATTATAGATGATGCCATACCAGTGAATACCGAAAGGCATTGTCCAGGGGTTCTGTTCAGGCGACCTGAGTAGCCTTTGCATTTGAACACAGTATTATTTTATTCTTGTGTACAACAATCAGCTTATTGTTGTTTCTTTTACTAATTTAGGAGAAATAATTGTGGAGGTGAATACAATGTACCTGAATCACTGTATTCAGCATGCCCCTTAACATGCACAATGAAACCATGAAATATGTACCCTTTAAAATTTTCTTAGGAAAATAAAATTTTAAAATACTAAAATGGCACTTTCACTAGAATTTCACTTGACCAGTCATGCCTCCAGCAATATCCCTGCCTTCCCTCCAGTCCTCTCAATGTGCCTATTTTAGCTGGAATTTTTATTTTAACCCAGAATACCCTGGATACACAGCACCAACAAAAAGGAATGTTTTTGTGCCTTTCCTGGGCATGCCTTACCCTTGCTTTGCCTTACCCTTGCTTTGCCTTACCCTTGCTTTGCCTCGCCCCCCGCAGATGCTCCAGGCAGAAGTCCAACAGCTGGAGAAGGGTCCTGTGAAGCCTGAAGATGTTAATGAGGCCAAGAGGGAGCTGAGGAGGCTAGTGCAGGCCACCAAGGATGCCCTGCAGCACAATGACACGTGAGGCCTTAGTAACCTGACTTGACCTAGGTCTGGCTGATCTTTGTTTCATAGGTCTTAAAACTGCTTTATGATCATGTGTCTATACCTTTGTGTGTTGTTATACGCTACATTCACCAATGTCATCCTGTCACCTGGCCTCTTCCACGGCCACCATGTACATGACTAGAATAATGTACCAAATACAGTACCTTCATGGGGAACTTTGGGGGGAATCTGAAGGAACCCATTTTGGGAATGCTGGTTCAGGTATTGATAGATGAGAGAGCCACAAAGTTGTGACATCTCATAGGAATACCCTTATTATTTTTCAAATTAAAAAATGGTGTGACCTCTCTGTATGGTCTTTCAGGGTCAAGTGACAGTTGGATAAACATATTGTTTGCAAAGATTTTGAAAAAGAAAAAATTAAGCAAACTGGTAACAACTAAAATATCCTCAAGATGCAAAACAAGGAACAAAACCAGATGTACAACTTGCTGTCAGGGTAACTTTGCTGAGAGAAGGCCTTTGTCTATCTTCTGCTCTAACTTGGTCCTGAGATCTCTCTCACAGCATGACTGTAAGCTCTTGCTTGGCCTCAGAGGCCCAGGGGAGTCCCACTGTGTTCACAGAGTGTGTATCACCAGGTAACTTCTTCACCCTGCCCTTCAGGCCTAACGCTCACGTGTCTGACCTTAACTTGTCAGGCTGGAGCTTTTGCAGACATCTTCAGTTTCCTCTTTACGTTACAAAGAAGATTGGTTTTTTTCCTCAACAAAATGACAGTAGTGTAAAGAAGACAAAAGAAAAAAAGGACAAATGGGGCACGAGTATTTCACTATCCTATTTTTCTATTATCAATTTGCAGGCTGAGAAATGAATTAGAGATGGAGTGCCTGTTGCTGCAGTCTGCTAAGGAAAAATCAGGCAAGTGCCTTTTTAGATCTGCCCTGCTTCCTTTCCAGCATTGCATCTCGAGGTCTTGCTCCACTCTCCGCTCCTTCTCCAACCCATGCACTTGTCTTTTTGTCCTTTTCATCCTTCAAACTCAAGTTAGTTCCACTTCTCTAGCAATATCCTCCTTGAGCTTCCCCATGTGATTAGGGGTTTCTGTTTGTGTCTCCCTTGCACCCCCTACTTTCTTACCATCACTATCTCATAATTTATTAGTGAACCTTCCCACCTCACCAAGTGTCTGCAAAACTGAGTGTTCAACAAATACTCACTGATGATCTGAATGAATTAAATACTATTTTGAATCATTATTTTCATTTCATTCACATGCTTGGGATTTGAGCTATTTTATAGATTATAATTATATCTAACACACATAATTTTGTCAATAGTACACAGTGATATTCAAAATAGCTGAGGTATTAAATGCAGTAATATTTTCAAATATATTTCTAGAATCTTCTAAGAAAACTGTAATTGATGAAGAACATCTTACTCTTACTGAGAAGGTTGAGAGGAAGCGATGTGAAATACTCAATAAATGCGATGAAATTCAAGCTCTTGAAAAACAGATTAAAACTAGTTTGGTGCACACCAACATTTCAGATATCGTTGAGAATCGGATGAAAAGCATAGAGGTATGCCACTTACCTCTTTAAATATTAACACTGTGCTCTTGCTTACAAACTTTGGCAAATACATGAAGCAATTTGACTGCATTGGAGCAAATATATTTTCCTTTCAAAATGTTTGCAGTAGAAATATTAGAATAATAAATATGTAGTTGAAACAAAAGTTCAAATGACAAAAAAACACTGTAGAATTCTGGAAATGGTTGAACACTGCAGAATCTGTGCAGAAATCGTGCAGACTGATTCAGTGTAACTTTTAGTTGTATCACGTGTGATATGTGACTGTCTTTTTTTTCTCATGGCTATACAGTAACATATATTATCCCAACACTACTTTAAAAAATGAAAACAGAATAATAAGAGTTGCATAGCATATAGAAGGTGTTGACGATCTAAATAGCTTAGCTTTATAATTAACCAATATCTCCCCTCACTTACAAGTAATAATCCTTTTCAATATGTTGGATATTTGGAAAAACAAGTCTTTATACGACGCATCACTTTGTACCTTCCCATCGCTATCTACAATACTCTTAGATATTCTCATCCATGCTATTAACTATATTGTCAAGTTACAGTAGTAATAGTTGGTATTTTTATTGTGCTTGCAGTGAATTTATTAATTTATTTGGAAGAAAATAATAGCCTTACAATATTAACATTACCATCAGGGATCATTTTATCACTTTTTTCTGGTGTTTAAATATTTCAAATTGTGACAAAAAAGCACTTACTGTAAAACTTATCATGTTAACTATTTTAATTGTACAATGAAGGCATTAAATACATTCACCTAATTGACTGATGATTACCACAGTCTATCTCTTTAGGTCTCTTTTGATCTTGCAGAGCTGAAGCCCTGCACATGTTAAACAGGGTAATTTATCTTTAGTATATTATTTCTATGTCTTGATCTTAAATAATTATTATATTTATTTTTATGTACTTATAAGATCTGTTATTGTTATAAAAGAAAATTTTCAAAATTTTCCCATTTTCAAAATTTTTTCCTTGTATAATCACTTCTTGCTAATATATATGTTACTTATTGATATAAGCATACCCTGGAGATATTGTGGATTTGGTTTCAAACCACCACAACAAAGCTTATATTGCAATAAAGTGAGCCCCATGAGTTTTATAATTTTCCAGTGTATATAAAAGTTATGTTTATACCATGTTTTAGTATATTAAATGTGTGACAGTATTGTCTGAAAACTGAACCTTAAATAAAAATGATCTATTCCAAAAAGGTTATCATTTGAGCTATGAAAAAAGATGGTATTAATAAATTTGCTTCACTGATGGCTGTCACAAACCTTCAACTTGCAAAGAATTGTCTATGAAATGTGATAAAGCCAAATACAATAAAATGAGGCCTGCCTCATTTTATGTCATAGATTCATACTGTGTTATTTCCAGCCATTAATGAATTTTTCCAGTGTTATTTTTTTTGATCTTTTAAAATAGCAACATTTACCTCCTCACTTTTTGACCCAGAGAGATAAGATTAATCTTTCATATTATTTATCCTTCATTTCATTCTTTGTTTATTCATTGGCTTTTAAATGATATCCTGTTGAATATTTTTAAAATTATAATGACAGTATTCACATAATATTTTCTCTTTATAAATAGTAAGCAATAGTTAACAAGCATTCTTAACAAAATATCTTGCTTTTAAAACCATACCCACTTCAGAATGAGGCTGTAAAACTGGAAACAACAAATAGGATTCTACAGAAGAAAATACAAGTAAGTTTTATTTTGTGTGTGACTCAGAGTTTATAGAAATATTTCCTAAAGTGCTTGCTTATACTATGTCATAACTCAATTAAGAATACATGCATTCTTTTTCTAAATGGTAAATATTTGTAATATTTGTAATATCTGACTCTGCATACATGTACTTAAAACTAGGCAGGTGTAAGCTCAGATATGAATAAAAATAACTCTAAGTTTTAACAGTGGAATATGCCAACCATAAGTATTTTTCTGACTCATTCATGTATTACCATTCAATGCACTGAGTTTATTGGTGGCAAAGAATCTAAAGAACTGGCTTTTATAGCAACTTTGGAGGTACCCTCTCCAAAATTCTTCATAGTTTGCTTCATAGTATGTGAAAGTAGAAATGATAATCTGTCCAGAAATGATCCAGATATGATAATCCCAAAATGATAATCTATCTACAATCAAACTTATTGCCACTGTACATGATCAAAGAATTTTTAATTTTTTTGTAGGTCATTGAAAACAATGTGAAGCAGATCATGAAAAAGAGTAAGATGAGTGAGGAGGAACAGGAGTAAGTCTTTCTATCGTGATAAAAAGATATGTAGCATCTTTGATCCATTTTTATTGTAGTTTAGTGCGTGGTGAGAGATATGGGTTTAGGTTCAATCTTCAGCATGTGGAAAGCCAGTTTTCCCGGTACCATTTAGTAAAGAGGCTGTCTTTCTTCCAGTGAAAGTGTTTGGCCCCTTTGACAAAGATAAGGTAGCTGCGTGTGTTTGGAGTTGTTTCTGGATCTTCTATTCTGTTCCACTGATACTCATGTCTGTTTTTTTTTTTTTTGTGGTTTTTTGGTTTTGTTTTGTTTTTGTTTCGGTCTTTCTGAGACAAGGTCTCACTATGCAGTTCAGACTGGCCTTGGACTTTGTAGAAGCCCAGGCTGGACTTGAACTTGCAATAATCCTCCTGCCTCAGCTTTCTGAGTATTGGGATTACAGGTATGTGCTACCACATCTGGCTTTGGTCTGTTTTTTTGTTGCTGTGGTGTTTTTTTGTTGTTTTTTTTTTGCCAAGACTACGTTGTTTTTATCACTGTAGCTTTGTAGTATAACTTCAAACTTGAGATTGTGATGCCCCCTGCCTAAATATTAAAACAGAAACACTTAATCTGATGGAATATAAAATAGGTAAAATTCTTGAAGACACAGGTGTAGGCAAAGACTTTGTGAACAAAATCATGATTGCACAGGAGATATTACAAAGAATCAACAACTGGGATCTCATCATATTAAAAACTTTGTGCAACAAAAGAAATCACCAACATAGTGAAGAGACAACTCATAGAATGAGAAAAGATTTTACCAGCTGTAAATATCTAGAATATATAAAGTATTTAATAGCTGTAAATATCTAGAATGAACTAATATCTAGAATATATAAAGTACTAAAAAAAATCAAACCCCACAAATTTAAAGACCTAATCCAAAAATGGGCATCTGAAATGTATACACACTTCTCAGATGAAGAAGTATAAACAGTATTTATTTAAATATATGAAAAAGTATTCATTATCAGTGATCATTCAAGAAATGCAAATTAAAACAAAAGTAAGATTCCATCTCCACAAAGAATGGCTATTATCAAGAAATCAACCAATAACAAACTCTGATGAGGAGAAGGAAAAAGGAACACTTCTTCACTGTTGATAGGAGCGTAATTTGGTGCAACCACTGTGGAAATCGGTATGGAGATTCTTCAAAAAATTGACACTAGAATTTCCATTTGATCCAGTTATTGATACCTTCCCAGAAGAGTTAAAAGAATCATACCACAATGATATATGCACACCATGCACGATTTGTAATAGCTAAATCTTGGGAACAACCAAGATGCCCATCATCAGAGAAATGGATAAATAAAATGTGATTTTTATATAAAATAGAGTACTACTGTGCCACAAAGAAGGATAAACTTGAGACTTATTAGGTAAATAGATGCACTTTGAGACCATACTTTTAAGTGAAATAAATCTGACACACATTTAAATATCATATTGTTTCTCGTGTGTGAGAAACCAGAAGTGCAAATAAGGGCCAAAATGGATGAGAGATACTGGAAAGTAGGAAGAAGATGTTCAGATGGGAAGGGGAATGAGAGAAGGAGGAGACAAAGGAAGAGAGGAAAAAGGGCAAAAAGAGAATAAAAAAAACTAAGAACACAAAAGTTTACATGTACAAGTCTGCATAATACTTCCCCCACTTCCAGCCCAGGCTCAGCAAAATGCCTGACTACAGTCCAAATCTGAGGTACAAACACCAAGTAAGTTATTTGTTCACCTGTCTACTTCTTCCTAGTGACACAAATCCAGTTGCAGTCCTTTCTGCAGTTTTTTCCCTCTCCCTTGACCTCTACAGAGGTGTCTTCTTCCCATCTCCAGTGCCGTACTTCTATCAGGGTTTACACACATACTTTCTTATTTATATCTCAGTTTGTTTTGTTTTGCTTCAGTGAAATTGTCCACTCTCCTAATCTTTCAGTGTTATCAGCAGGAAAAAAGTACTTACTAAATGCTTCTTGAAATACACATTTAGTTATGGAAAATAATACAACTGGTTTATCTTAATTTTCTTCCCCAAGGTCAGAGTTCATTTCAAAACCATTCATCTTGACATACACACATACATGTTTTTTCAAAAAATAAGAAAGTATTTCTAGGAAACATAAAAAAGTGATCCCACAATAACGGAATTTTTACAAATAAATAGATATGTTTTAAAAAGAAAATCCAAATTCCCAATATTCTGTTTATTACAAATAAAAATGTAAGAAGAGCCTTTGAATCCTCTGTAACACCTGCTATAATTTCCTAAGACAAGTGAATTAGTTGATATAGATTCATTTTTTTAAATGTAGGGAGACAATACTTCAAAATTATTTTCCTAGTAATCATTTACTTATGCGGTTTAATAAGAATAAATGCTTCTATATAGAAATGCACAGAACTGAAAAAATTCAAATGGATTCCTAATTTATGGAAAACAGCAGCAGTAATCTGATTATAACAGTGAATAGGAGGAAAGAAAAACAGGAAAGTTTTCCATGAATTCCCACTTGAACAGGAGAATTTCATAGCAAACTCTAATAATCATTTTTGTGTAAAATGTGTTTCAGTGCAGGACCATCTGTTTTATAATTAGTTTGACCAAAATTCTTCGGTGGGATGATGGTGAGACAGGAGCTCAGGGTTGCCCAGGTGAGAGGCTAACATGTTGATTTAAGTGGTAATAAAACAGAAACTGGAAATGGTGCTAACATAGGAGAAAGGATAAGTTCTACTTTTGGCAGCGCTTTGTTTCTAATTTGGTGAAATAGCTTTAGGATGTGGAGAGGCACTAAATTAGAGAAGAATGAAAAATTGTGTTCCTAGAGTTAAGCTGCGTTTATGGTAGCACCTTAAACCTTAAAAACAGATATGCTTCCTGAAGGTGTAAAATGTAGGAGACCTTTGGACCAACAATGACCCCTGGAAATACAGTTCTGAGGCTAAAGGATGAGAAACCTGTGCAAGATAAAAATGAACACGAAGCAAGAAAAAATTAGAGTGTGTGTCTCACAGGGTGAATGGAAAAGAGTTATCACGCACTGCAAATACTTGGGGCAGAAGTTTGAGATCATTTGGGCAATGAGAAAAATCATAGGACAGGACACAAGATTCCAAGTGAAAGGAAAACTGAAAAAATAATGAAAGATATTTAATACTGCAACTTTATGAACTTGAATAAGTAAAGTGATGTCTGCTGCTGATTGTCCAAACTCCATAAAATAATGCCATGGTATGTCATGAAAATACTGTTTCTTCATTTTCTAAACATCTCGAATTTATCTCAGGCCTTATGTTTCATACTATTCATAACTAGTATTTGTTGAAGTAAGCATTCTATGTATGATTCATTCATACTATTTTGTAATTAACATAAAATATTGCAGGTATAATGAATTGTTCAAAAAACATGTGATAATATGCTTTTCTCAAAAATATTCTCTCAAAACTAGATTAGACATAACAGACCTTTGATATACTACTACTTTTGAGCACTAACTTTAAATATATGTATTATATCTTTTCTTGTGGTTAAAATTACTCAGCCTAAGATTTAAATATCAAAATGAACCTATTATTAAGCAATGTGGCAATAAATTCACTGGAAAAAGATAAACAGTTGGGGTGAATTCTCATACAAAGGAATGAGAAAAGGAGAGTTATATGACTGTGGTAGGTTTCTTTTTTCAAATGACATGTATCTGGTGGTGTTAAATCTTTGGAAAACCCTTTAAATACATTACTTTGGAGTTTTAAGACAGTAAATTATTCATTCAAATTATATGTTTCATAAGTTCGTATTTTACACAGTTATTTTCCTTGAAGTCAGTGCTACAATTCAAATCTCCGGATCTGGTATGATTGGGAGTGGTAGAGAACCATGATTGTTTAGAGACAGAAAGGCTTATTTGTGTCAATAAGGAAAAATTTTAGGTGGTGGTGGCCTGGCCTCAGAGATATCACTAATTCTTCTGTGGTGATTTTAGTGTGGCTGTCTTCAATCATGAGGTCCATGTTCCAAGGATGAAGAAAAGAGCAGAGAAAGATAGATCTTAGCAAGCCTGTGGGGCTTTTCTGCTGCTTTTAGAAAGGGTAGCCTTTTTCAGGGCCTCCCACCTACACCTCACTGGCAAGGCCAGATCCCAAAGCCACTCTTAGCTGTAAGGGAGGCCAGAAAACAGAATGCTTCACTTTCTCACTTACATGACAGAGAAAGCCAAGGGAGAAAAGTGCTAGAATTGGTGCTAAGTGGGCCATCCAGTGAGCCCAGATTCTTGGGTTCTTTATGTCATGTCACCTAGGGAGACAGCACAGTTGCATATACAGAGTTTGGAAGCCCCATCTGTATCCTCAGCCATGGAAAAGATCTTACTCTGTTGCCACACAACACAGTCTGGAAAATATGACAGGTGTGCACTCAAATACAGAAAAGCTTTGCTACATTCAGGGCTCAAACTACTGACATATGCGTTAGACAAAAGTAGATGATTGCCAAGTCTCCTCAGTTTGGGGGTAAATGGGCCTTAAAATGGATGTTTATTTTGAAGTGTCCTTCTTTCTTTAATGTATTTTTCTTAATCTGTTTTGCTGGTGTCTTGTATATTTTAAGGATTCTCTGGGAATTTATTTCAAAATTTGCAGAAGAAGCAAAAAATAACTGTCAAGAGACTGAAGAAATGACTTAAGAAAACTGATGACTGCCCTGCACATAACCTGGATGTTTGCAGATGTATACATTCATGAAGATCCATTACATTTTTTGACTTCAACCTTAAGAATGTGTAATGTACCCTATTCCAGAAGTTGATAAATAAATGCACAAAAATAATTTTTTGCACTTGAATATGTGCATAGCAATACTAGTTCTTAGAGTATTTTGTTTTTATTTGGTAACTTTCAACTGAAAGTTATGAAATACTTCTGCTCCACTGTAATGCAAATAAATTGTACTTATTTACCAACACAGGTTTCTACAGATGCATGTAATAAAATTTAGTAATGGACTAGTGAGTATCCATTTAATTAGTATTTAATGATTGAAAATGATCACTGCACTATAAATGTTACATTTGTGTTATACTTGCACTAAATTCACTTTCCTGATTGTGGTCCTCATGACAACCTTGTAACTTGGGTGGGTTTTACCTCTACTTTGCTTTTAGTGTAAGTATTTAGAATAAGCACAAGTTTGATACTCTTGGGCAACAATTCATAGCGTGATTTTGAGGATCAAGTGTAAGTGATGAAAAACACACATGGGGTATTCAATCTTGACTTGGAATATTGAAATGGTAGAGTTGAGAGAGAGACGCATGGTGGGGATAAGGAGAGGAGAGGAAGGAAAGGAGAGAAGGAGAGGAAAAGAATGGAGGAAAAACAGGCAGGAAGCAGGAGGTTACTGCTAGGGACCTGGATTAGACTCAGGTCTCTTTAAGAACTGTCAGCTTCTCCTGAGGCATGATTCACTCTGTTTTTAGTGATAAAATGTTAGCAGCTACTTGAAGCTTTTGCCATATGTAGAAATAATCTAGGCTTTCTAAATTTTTGAGTTCTCTGTGATTTAGTTCTTTTCTGTTGATTATTTGCATTCACCAGACTCCTATCAGATAGACTCCATGTTTCTGGTCACTCTGTGAGAGAACTAGAGTATGACATAGTGAGCTGGTGCTTAAAGTCCTCTGTTATGGTTTAGACCTAAAATATCCCCTCAAAAAACTCATATGCTCAGAAGTGGAGGTTTTGGAAGATGAGATTATGGGTGCTCTATACTTTGTGTATTAGTCTTTCTGGGCTCACGGTTGAACATGTTGATTACAATTGAACTCTGTAGATTAGTCTTGCTGGGCTTTCAGTTGAACATGTCGAGGTGGGCCCTGGTTGGAAAAGGTACTTCACTCTGTTGAGACCTAGAAGGGTGTATTCTCATGCTCTTTCTTTTCTCTCTGTTTCTTGGCTGGCATGCCAGGCCCTCTGCCATGGCATTTGTCTCTTGGAGTCAATTATGAACCAAATAAGGCTCTTCTACTGTAGTTGCAGTTGTTAAGCATTTTTCCCCAATGGAAGGAAAGTGGGTAATACAGAAAACTGGTACTATAAGAGTGGTGTCATCGCTGTGACTGTACCTGACCATGTGGTCCAGCAGCCTTTGGGAGTGTTTTATGGGTGGAGTTCATAAAGGTTTGAAGATACTACGGTTGTGTAAGTAGAGCTTGATGGATGATTTTGGATGGAGTTCAGAGGGCTAGATTGTTGGCAAGAAGGTGAAGTAAAGGGCAGGATCGTGGGGTTCCAGACAGGAATGAGGACTCTACTGAAAATTGGGCTGGAGACATTCAAGTTACCTTTCAGCAAAGAACATTTGTTCTATGTTCTAAGGCTTTGTGTGAGGTTGAATTTATAAGTGAAGACTAATCTGATGGAGGAAATTTCAAGGCAGCCCATTGTTCAGGCTGTGGCATGGGCATCGCTGGCTGCTTTCAGCAGTATTTACAATGAGGGTCTGGAGTGAAAGAAAAACTGAAAGATGTAAAAAATTTGCAGCCCAGCCTGAAAAACAGTGCTTGTAAAGTTGAGGACTAGGAAGGTGTGATCAGTGCCATTAAAAAGAGGCCACATACTTTGCACCTGGACATTAGGAAAGATGGTTTGAGGGCATCTCACAAACCAGCAAAACCCTACTTATCATAATCTCATGAATGTAAAAAGAGTACATGCTTTTGAAAGACTCTGATTTGAGAAGAGACCCTAAGGGTACCCTGCTGAATTGACACTACATAGGGAGCTGTTTCTCAGATTTCAGACATTCAGGCATGAAGAGCCTGTTGCAGCTATGGTCCACTGAGGCTCACCTACTGTTCCCACTGGTAGAAGATCTTGGTATCATCCACATGTGCTGGTTTTACAGGCATCCAGAATGCCAACATTATAGGGTCTGAGAGGCTTCCACTCGGATTTCAGAAGACCTGAGAGGCCAGGCATAAATGTGTTTCAGAGACATAGTTCTTGCCAGGAGTTCCTGAGAGGGTGATGCGTAAAGCTATGAGTGAATCCAAAGTTGTAGTGGAGACCCCAGGAAGCTGGAGATGCTGGGCCAAAGTGGCAGTCAGTCATTACAGTTATCCCTAGAGAGAGGCAATATGGGCAGCACCCAGCAAGGCCACAAGGGTGGGGCTGCCCAAGCACTTTATAGCTCACTTTTCACCACCACATGCCCTATGTGCTGGATGTGGAGCAACAAGGTTGAAAGTTTGCTCTACTGGGTTTTGGTCTTGCTTTGTGCTGAATCCTTTCTGTGCCCCCACTCTTCCCTTTCCGAATGGGAACGTTTATCCAATGGCATTCTATGTAGGAAATATTTAACTTTATTTTTGATTTCCATAGGGGCTCAGAACTAAGAATATCAAATTTTATACTTGCACTTTTGAGCAGTCCTGGAACTCTTGGAACTCTGGCAACAATTGCAGATGGACTGAATGGATTTTGCATAATGAGATGGACTTAGCCTTTTGGTGGCCAAGAGCAGAATGTTATGGTTTAGATCTAAAATGTCTCTCCAGGCCAGATATGATTGTACAATCCCAGCACTTTTGAGGTTGAGGTGGGAGGATCACTACAATATCAAGGCCACCTAAACTATATAATGATTCCTTGTCTCAACAAACAAAAAAACAAACAGTTTCCACAGATATATTATTTATTCAGAGGTGAGGCCCCTGGAAGATTATTGGACCATGAGGATGCTGTCAGTGATTAACACATTGATGAGTTAGTTTGTAGATGAATGTGCTGTCAGGGGTGAGCCCAGTTGGAGGCAACATATCACTGTGGTGTGACCTGGAATGATTTATTCTTGTCCCTTTCACTAACCTTTATGCTTCCTGGCTGCCATGAGGTGAGCAGCTTTTCTCTACTCTTCCTTTCCACGCCCTTTCTGCCTGGGAGCCAGCTGATTGTGAATGGAGCCCTTTGGAATCACGAGCCAAAGTGAGCCTCACCTTTAATTGTGGATGTGAGGTATTTTTCCCTAGCCATGGGGATATGCCTAATACACCACCTGCCATAAGTGACACAGCTGGGAGTGGAACCCAGGTTTGGCTGACTTAATTCCTAAATGCTTAGTAATTGATCCTATGGTGTCTTTTATGTACAATATACATGAAGATAAGAAGAAATGAATTTATAAACTGTCAGAGAGTGACAGAAAGACAAATAGGATTAAAAGCTGAGCTGGGTTTATTTTACTGCTAAATAAGAAAGAGTCATCCACTCAACAGGTTCAGGAAGTCTCTAATTTGGAAGTAAAGAGCTGGATACAGAGGCAAAGGGAGTATGGTATTCCACAGTAGGGAATTTTACACAGCATATTCTCAATAGCTGTGGTGAGGATAAGAAGATTTAAAAGTCCTTTAAAAAATTGGTCATTATTCTTGTTCATATCAGAAACACACTTTAAAAAATGTGTTATGATGTGGCTTCTTTAAAATCAAAGTCTTGCAGCAGACTGTGTGATATTTACCTTCTTGGGACTGGTAAGATCTTTCCTCTAAGGCAAATAAAGGATCCTCCCATCCATTGTTACATTCAAGCAACATTTATCATATCAGCATTAAGTATGTTTCAGACAGTTTGTCAGTTTTAAGGAGTATGGAAATTTATAACACATGGTCCCAATCCTCAAAACATTCATGCATTTTTGTATGAGAAGAATAACAACAACAACAGAGAAAGTCTACTAGAGTTAAACACATGCCAGAATGTGGGTAGGTGAATTTGCCCTTCCACCATTTGCATGAGTTATCATTTCTAACTCATTCATTCCCTCAACAAGTGTCTGCTGAGGACCTACAATGAATGGGCATTACTCTAAGAAATGGAAACAGACCAGCAGATGCAGAACACATGGTAACCCAGAGCCCTGGGGACTGTACAGTAAACCAGTAATCTGGTAAATATATCAGATGGTGGTAAATGCTACTGGTAGAAAGTAGAGGACAAGGGAGGGAGTATATGGGGGATGGTGAGGACATTGTCTTCCATTCTGCAGGAGCAGTGGTATCAGAACAGGACCTGAAAGGGAAGACATGCAGGTGCGAGGGCCCCAGGCTGAGGGCAATTGCAAGGCTCTGGGTAGAAAGAGGTGGTACCTCAAGCCCAGCAGGGATGCACTTATTGAGCAAGAGCAGCCAGCATGGAGAGGATGCCCAGGAGCTGGGCTCAGTTTCTATTGAGGGCAAGTACAACCTGGAGGGAGTTGAGCAGAGGGGTGAGCAGCAGCTTGTCTCTGGGGCTGGAATGGGGCAGCTTGTTTGTGTCATAGTGCCCAGCTCAGGGATTACATCAGATGTTAGTTTTCTGTAGGTGCTGCTGGGATGGCATTACGCAGATGGGGTTCACATCTGCACTTGGTTTACTGTAATTAGGAAGATTACCTTCCCTCCTGTGGTGAGCCTGAGCCAGTCAGCTGAAGGTCATCAGGACAACAAATGGAGGTTTTCCTGAGAAGAAGACCGTCTGCCTCAGCATACACTTCTGCTTGAGCATCTAGCTAGCTGGCCCATTCTGTAGATTTCAGACTCACTAGAGTCCACATATGTGAGCCAGTCCCTTAAAATCTTTCTTTCCTTCCCCATTTCCCACCTTCCATCCTCCCTCCCTTCTTCCCTTCCTTCCTTTTTCCCTCCCTTTTTTAAAATTCTTTTTGCATCTCTTAATGTTACTTGTATCAACTTAAGGAGTCTAAAAGCTTAACTAAGTAACTTAGCAGTTTTACATACTGTGGTGAAAAGGACATGCCACCCTGCCTTGGAGTCAGCTAATTGCAGACTAAGACCTCCACAAACTGTGAGCTAAATAAACCTTTTCTTCCTTAATTTTGGGTGTCAAGTACTTTCTTAGCAACAACAAAAAAAGTAATTAAAACAGAATTTGGAACCAGGAGTAGGGTCATTGCTGTAACTATACCTGACCATGTGGTTTAAGAGCCTTTGGGAATAGATTGTGAAAA